GTATAAAAAGCTATAAACAACTCTCAATACAGTCGTGTGCACTCAGTATTTTCTAATTTGATTTTGTGTTAACATTGTTAAAATGTTAACCATTTACATTATGAAATAAATGTTAAACATTTATTCTATAAAAGAAAATTATATCAATAATAGTAATACTAACAATAATAGCCAAACCAATGGGGCTTATTATGTGCTACACATTTTAAAGAATTATTTCTTTACTTTTGACTATCATATATATATATATATATATAATTTGCTTAAGGGCACATGCATTCAGAGAGAGAGAGAGAGAGAAACAGACAGAGAGGGAAAATGAGAAAGTAAACTGCCAGGTCTGAGACTTGAATAGAGGTCGGCCATGTGGGAGTCCAGTGCCTTAACCACCATGCCATCTACCACAGCTCCATGTGCTACCCATTACAATTGGATTAATTGATTCAGTCTTCACAATTGCACTCACTAGAGATTTACTATTAAGGGAGCTTTTTTTTAGATGAAGATATCAAGGGTAATAGTGACAGGATGCTAGAACCTGGATTTGAACTCAAGCTATCTAAGACAAAAAACCACAATGACAACTAAGAACTAAGAGTTTCAATAAATCAGCTAATATAAAAAACTGACAATTTAAAAATTTTTCAAACCTTTATTGTATATATCACATAAAAGATTTTCTGTAAGATTCCATGTTTTCTTTCTTTAATTTTATACTGAAATAATAATAAATGTGATAGTAACAATAAGTTGTTTCAAAATATTTCAAAGCTTAAATGTATTAAACGGCATAAACATTAATAAACTGGGCTTTAATGAAAGAACTTCTTAACAAGGCACCTTTTGAAACAAAAAGCTAAAGAAAATCTAAGAATAAGTATTCTGGTACTAACATCTTGTTTCTCTGAATTTCTAATCTCACCTACAAATTATTGCTCTTTCTCCTTGTCCTCTCCTCACACATCAGAAAGTCTGCCATAACCTGAGCTGGGCAAACTTCTAATTTCTTGACTTACTCAATCCAAAAATTATTGCTATATTGAGGCATACAACTTACCAGATAGTGACATGAAATTAATTATTCTGACTTTAATTTTCTACAGATACGTGCATGCACACATACCCACACACAGACACACAAACAGGTCTACAGAGAGAGAAAGACCAGCTTTTGATACTTGTGCACTTTTCCCGCATTTATTCTCCTAAAGGTTTTTTAACATGCATTTCAGATGAGAGTTGACCTAAATTCCCACAGTGGTTAACTATTGTTAGCATTACTGGTATTAGTTATTTAGTAACCAATATGCCACAGTGCGCTATTTAAGAGATCAAATGCATACAAAGTTCCTCTCCCATGAAGGCTAGTTTTTGCAAATCTCTATACTAGCTTCCTTGCCTAGCTAAATTTAAATTTATCTTATAAAAAATCCAAACCTCTTTTGAGTAATTTAAAATCAGATTTTAAAACAAGTGTATAAAAAGGAAAAGAAATACGTTCATTTGTGCTAACAAAGGAATAGCGAAAGTAAAGGCAACCAGCTGGAACAAAAATAGGTTGTTCCAACTCACAGTTGTAGTCTGGACTAAGATTTTATATATAAAATAAATAAATAAAAGATGCATTTTTTAAATGGATTAAATCAGACAAGAGAGCCACGCTCATCAAGCTCACTTATGCTGATCAATTCACAAAGAAACTTTTTATGAAGTTCCTTGTGTCATTTAACTCATGTTGAAAAATATGGAAAATATCTTTCCAATATTTTTGTTAAGAAGTTTTAAAATCCTATGTACAATAATAAACAATAACTCATTTTTCTAAGAGTTTTATGCTATTTTAAATTTTTCTCTCTTTCTCTCTTTTTTTTTTTTTGCCAGAGAAAACATGTGCTCTCCCAAGAGATAGTATTTTTGCATTCTGTGTTTCTAATACAATTTGAAAACATCTAATATCATGTCGTTTTTTTAACTGTGGGGAAAACACAGCTGACTAGAGCAGGTAAAAGCCCAACTCTATTTTCTCTCATTATTTTTATCACTGCCCATTGCAAACAAAATTTTTCCTATGCAACTATCTTACAGGAAGTTTTACACAAAGAATATTCAAGTGTAATTATTCTTTAAATTTTGATGTCTCAGATAATTTGTTGATATATCATCTGTGATTTGCTAATACAGAAGGTCAAAAACATGAGGTAATGCATCATAAACTAATCATTTATATTTCCCTTGCCAAGGTTCACTGAATCTTTTAACCTATGTTGACTACTATAAAGCTAATTTTCTATATTCAGATAACATTCAAATTAGCCTTTTAAAAATCACACTGAAAAATATGAACATATGTAAGTCAAAATTAGGGCATCATAAGCAAATAACCTCTGGCGGTTTTTCAAGGAAAAAAATGACTTTAGTACATTACTCTAGCATTTTTAAACTAAAGTAGTTATTATCTAATCCAAAAAAAACGTATAGTACATATACCCTTAAGGAGACAAATAATTGATAAATTAAGAAGCATCTTACTCTGTGAAAAGTCTGTCCATGTCCGTGTGAAGGGAATGGAGATGGAGGCAGCTGTTTCTGTCCTTTGTCGGTGTCCTTCCAGTGCCTGGCAGACTGCCTGACCCAGACAAGGCATTTAGATAATATATTCTGAAAGAATTAAAGTATGAATTTCCACCAAACTGTTCTCAGTTTACAACACATAGTTCTATATAACACATGACAAAGTAGGTTCTGTTGGGAGCTGGTAGCATTCTTTAAACCATGTGACCATAATTCTAACTTAACCAATCTGTGTTCACACTGTTCCTGCCACAGACTTTGCTAGAAATCTACTGACTTCTTGTAGATTTATAGACTACAAATTACAATTGGGTTGTAATTTGTGCTATTTACATTCTAGTGAGTATGTATCGCTAACTCATATGTTTTATTTAACTTGTAGAATCTCATTCTGGTGGCCATCCTCTCTGCTAAATTGGATAAGTTGAGGGTCTTACAGTCACAGGAAAATGGTTTAAAATGCTTTCTGGTGGAAAAAGCTGAGTTATGCTTGAAAGCATTGTTGAAAAGGATCTATTTTGAAGAACCACTATTGTATAAACTGATTAATAATCTCTGGCAGCACTAACTCAGGACTTCATTGTGTGATCATCTCATGCCCAATGTTTTGAAAGGCTCATACACACACATATGTGTGCAAACACAGAGTGTGAGTGGTATCTTGTACTTCTTCCAGAGAGAAAAATTAGAATTCTCTTTGATGATGGAAATAAATCTTTTTTCAGTACCTGCTGTGTCCTAAATCGCTACAGTGGTACTTATTGACGTGTAATAATATTTTAAATTGCCTCTGCATCTTTTTTAAAAGGCAAAAATCTACTTGTAGTTTTGTTTTGTTTTGTTTTTTATCACCAAGATCAGGTGCCCCGAAGATACATGGTCATAGTAGATAATTAATATTCAATGAATGAATCACAGATAGTAAACAAGTACTTAGGAACAACATCCTGAACTGCAGTCAACTCTCTCTTATCTATTTCAGCCAGGCATACCTTAGAAGCTACTTGGGAATAAAACTCTCTTATATACCTATCCCTTTAACTCAAGAGCAAAGATTTTATCAAACCCAGTAAACCCTCAGATTTTCCTACATGGATTTATGCTGAACAATTCTGGTCCACTAGTTGCCAAATAAGATCGCTTAATAACTGTATAGGAATTATAAAATTCTAGTCGAAATATAATGAAACCTGCAGGGGATTGTATATTCATTTATCTTGTAGTAGGAAAACTTGAATCCTCAAGTAACAGGGTGTTGCCATGTTAGCTTCCTCTGGAGAATTGAAAACTACACTGCAAAGAGAATAGAATGGTCTGATTAGTATCAGAGCCACTGGACTCTGCACAGCTTCCATTTTTAAAGTTAATTTCTTTTAATTGACAAATGACAAATTGCATATATGTATCATGTGGACTTGATGTTTTGACACATGTTCTACTATGCAAAGCTTCATTGCTTCATTGAGCTCAGATTCGGCTGATAACTTGAGTTCTCCCTACTTGTGTTTTTATACTTGTGAAAGAACTATGTTACTTTATTCAGTATTTTTTGAGATTTTGTATTTTCAATTCATTACTTTAAATGCTCAGATATGATATAATTGGTTGGTGAGTAGAAATACAAAGCAAAATTATGTTTCAGGTTTAAATCAAAGAATAGGCAAATTCAATATTAAAAGTGTATTTGAAAGAACGAAAAGAATAAAAGGAAGAAGAAACAAAAGGGAAAGAAAGATTTAAAAAAAAAAGCTGTAAGAGAGAGAAAGGAGGAAAGGACAAACAAGGCAGAGAAAGAAACTATTAAAATATTTGACGAGCTCCCCTACAATTCAGATGCTTTTGTATGTGCAGTATTTTAATGTCCTTCCTAGGTAAATAGCAATGTCTTTCCTTTATATTACCACTACTGCAGCTGCTGTTGCTCACAATGAGATTCACAAATCAAAATAGACTCTGTTAGCTTTTCAATAATTCTGAAAAGGTGGGGAAGCGTTGTCGGAGAAGGAAAGCACTCCAGTATCCTAACATGGAGTCTTGTTAGCAAAACAAACTGTGAATTGCTTAGTGATAATTCCCTGCTCTTGGTAATTCCACTGGGTGCCTTCTGTGGCAGCACACGCTATTCTGCCTTATAGACCAAGGCCATGCAACAGGAGATGTCAGAAGAAATCTTAAAAAGTTGCATTTTTTGAAACGTTTATTCTATTCTACTAGATTCTTTTTTTCCCCCTAATGTCAACATGATTCAAATCTATTGGTTCTTAGCCTGGAGCACCCGTCACAACCAGGAATTGAGGAGGCTAGAGAAGGATGTGAATAATGAATGGGCTGCATAAACAGAAGTCTATACCCAGTCAACAGTCAAGGTATGTGCAGAATTGCAGACCAGCAACTTCATGGGTTCTCTCTATTATTCTTTCTCTCTCAAGGAAACGAGAACTAATAAGAACTTGAACGTCGAAAGGCTGGACTCAGTTTCAAAGACTGTTCCTTTGCCTCTTGCTTCATTCCTGGAAACTGTGCAGGAACTGTCTGATTAAGGTATGGGATGGGGGGGGGGATTAGATCTAAATCTTGTGATATGTAATGTGGGAGAAGCATTTTTGAAGACTATTGAAGAATTATATTTTCTTAAAATTGTGTGATATTACAGAAAATTAGTAATTGTCACATCTTCTGAAAATAGAACTAGTATTGGGACCAGCAGTTAGTGTAATGGCTATGTCGCGGGACTCCCATGTAATTGACTGTGGTTCAAGTCCCAGACCCAGCAGCTTAAACTCAAGCCGGGCGTGTGTGCGTGCATGCCCAAGATCCCGAGAGGAGAATGGAGAAGAGATTGTGGTGTGGCCATGCCCCCTAGGGGGTGAATTCTCGCTTTCTATCTCTCTGTCTCTGTCTGTCTGTCTGGTGAGCACATGCGCCCTATAGCGAAAACCGCTCCAAAAAAAAGAAAAAAGAAAAAAAAAATAGAACTAGTATTACTGTTTTTGAAGCGTTGGTTTGGTTGATGGGGCACTGGCCACTTGTATTTTTGTTTTTTCCCACTCTCATTCTGCACTTTATCAAATCCAAAGTTGTCATGGTTCATTATCTGTAGATGATCGTGAGCAGCCTTGCATTGTAAGAGAATATGCCATGGCATCTGCCTCTGTGCTTTTGTGCCCTGCTCTACAGATGACATGTTAGCAGGAGTGTTGGGTGCGGTGCAGGCGGCGAGAGCAGAATTTGTCTCCAACCAATGTTTCCTTGTGCCATATTATGTCTCATTCTTTCATACATGCCTAGTTCAACAGGGAAGTACATATATCACATTGTGACTACACGTATGTTGGAGTACATAATTGGGGTTGTAAAGTATCTGCTTGAATGTCTTAACTAATGAATTCCATCAGATTCAATTATCATTCTTAGACTCTTCATTAACCAATCAAATTACTCCTTTGGTCGAAGTCATTTCTTACACACTTTTATTAGGCATAAACACAGTTCTATGAAGTAAATTGGAGTTGATTAAATTATTTCCCTGATCTTTATTTGCAGTCCTGTATTATTGAAGTTTTGTATTTCTAGAGTTGCCTTTTATAGTATTCTCGTTGTGTAATGTTACAGCATGAAACTCTGTCTTCAAGATTTTATTTCATTACTTATGTCCTAGTGTTTTACTGAGAAAGTAAGTTGCAGTGGGTGACTACTACAAACAAATATGTAAAAATAAGTCAAATGTACATTCGTATAAATTTACCTATTTATTAAATAAATCTGCCCAGTAGTTTTGTGTTATAAAAAAACAAGTTCTTCACCTTTTGGGAGAAAATTATTTCAATACAAGAAATTGCTATTCTCTCTTACCAGCATTTTGGATTACAATTATGATTGAAATGATTTTTTTCAGATAATCATAAGTTCTTACTAACATGGGTTATTAAAACAAGATGGTTCTGAAAATGCATATACCCATTATCAATACTTTAGTTTTCTAATAGTTGCCATAATATTAATATAAATACAGTGAATATTGTGAGCATTTTCTAATGAAAGGCTGATGTTCTGGCAGAATGATTGTTGGCATACAAATCTTCAAATATTTCTCTTTTATTTGCTTCTACTTTGATATCTTTTATAAACAATTTCATCTTATATTCTACCAATTTTTTTCTTTTTATTCTACAAATATTTTGAGAAACATTGCAAAATGTCTTCTGAAGTCAACCTACAAAAATATGTATTCTGAGTTCCAAGTCACCCTTAAATCATAATCTTTGGGAATGGGTCCTAGATATGATCATTAGTAGGTGATTCTACTGGATTATCAGGAGAGTCATGACACATTTTTGTATAAAAAAAGAAAAATATGATTTTTCCCCCTTTTTTTGAAAGAATTGGTTTATTTAACTTTATTTATTTATTTATTTATTTATTTTCATTTGACCAGAGAGGGACAGAGAGAGAGAAAGAGAGAGAGAGAGAGAGAGAAAGTGAGAAAGCAAGTCACCAGGTCCAGGATTCAAATGGCAGCCAGCCGTGTGAGAGTCCAGCACCCTTAACCACCACACCACCTGCCAGCCCCACATTGTAACATTTTTAACAACCCAGTAATACACTCTAGAGTTTAAGAACCACAGCTCTACAATATGGGGGTGAGGAAACAGGTAATTGGAAAATGCTGCCAAATTATAGCTGCATAATTAATATCAGAAATTATATATGGAGTAAAGATGATGATACACCTATAAAGCAGCATGCTCCATAAGGCTGACCCACATGGCAAGTTTCCAGGTTTGAGTCCAGAGATAAGTACATGTATGTATGGCATAGTTCTGGGTTTGAGTCCAGAGACAAGCACATATATGTTTATATTCCAAGATTGGGTAAAGCTGGGGATATATATATATTTTTTTTTCTTTTCTTTTTGCTATAGGGCGCATTCACTCACCAGAAAGACAGAGAAACAGAGAGACAGAAAGCGAGAAATCACCGTCCAGGGTGGATGACCATGCCGAAATCCCTTCTCCTCCATTCTCCTCTCGGGATCTTGGGCATGCACGCACACGTGCCTGGCATGAATTTAAGCCATCGGGTCTGGGGCTCGAACCGCAGTCAACCACATGAGAATTCAGCAACACAGCCATTACGTGAACTGCTGGTCCCAAGCTGGGGATAGATCTTAGCATCAGTATCCTGTTAGGGGTGCTGTCTCTCTCATTCTCTCTTTCTCTTTCCTCTCATTCATAGAAGATATATAAACTTAAAGTTTTTAAAATAAAAACATTAAAATCAAATTTGGATTTTAATTTTTTCTTCCATATTTACATTTTCTGAGATTACAAAAAACATCCTAGATATTTTATTTTATTGTCCCTTCAGTGTGAATCTACATTATTTTGAAATTAAAAATTCAACACTTATCAATTCATTAAAGATGTCAAGGATATGGATGTCTATTCATGTAAAGGCTTCCCAAAGATGTCAAATAATAAAAGGGTCTCTAACATAGTTAAATTTACAATCTGTAGAAATCCTTATTATTTTTGTATCTTAATTTTTAGTTTTATAAACCTTTTTTTAAAAGAATTATTTATTTAATTTTATTTATAATAATTTTAAAACTTGCTATAGGGTATATGTACTCACCAGAGAGAAAGAGAGAGAGGGAGAGAGAGAGAGACTGTGAGAAAACAAGCTGCCAGGTCCAGGACTCAAACCTCCCATCAGTCTAGCGCCCTATACACCACATTGCATACTGACCCCTTACAAACCTTTATTAATTACAGGTCTATCTTTCAACATTTGATATAGTGAACAAATACTACTTCTTTGAGACTTTCAACCTGTTTTATTGCTATGGTTTCTATTGAGACAACTCATATGGATATCATACTTTTGAAAGATACTTTATAGTCAACAATTAAGTTAAATCTTTTGTGCTGGGGTATCCCTGTTTTTACAGAAGTGCACATTTTTATATTATCTAATACTAGTAAGAGTGTTCTCATAAATTTACTTTTAGTCCAAACAAGTAAGACATTGTTTACCAACTTAATACAACAAACTCTAAACTAAGTATACTTTTAAATGAGAGTTAGGGGACAAAGAACTGTCTTCTGAACCATGAAAAGACAGACTGTTGTGATTACTTCTGGTGCTGACAGAGAGAAAACAGCAATATGTTCTAGTAGGGGAACTACAGACAACATTTCACCCATAAAATCAATTCTCACTTCGTACATGGCAGACTCCACTGAGAAAAGGACCTACAAAGTAAAAAAAAGAAAAAAAAATGGCTAAAACCTTCCTTTTCAAGCTTAATTTTAAAAAAAGTTATAAAGTCATCATGGGAAAATTACCCATAATTCTTCAATCATGCTAATCCCTTTTAACTCTAAAAATTTCACGGAGAGGAAATTGATTCATTTTTCCATAGAAGAAAAATGGATTTTTCTTTTTTTAAGAAAGGTTTTCTCTATCTCATGATCCTCCTACCTCAGGCTCCTGAGACTGCAGACACATGCAGCCATACCCAAATCTTTTTTTTTAAGAGAGATTTTTGCTATAGAGCACATGCGTGCACCAGAGAGAAAGAGAGACAGAGAGAGACAGACAGAAAGTGAGAAGTCATCCCCCCAGGGAGGATGGCCATACCACAATCCCTTCTCCTCCACTATCCTCTCAGGATCTTGGGTCTGCACACACACGCAACCTGCATGATTTTGAAACTGCCAGGTTCCACTGTGGGAGTCCAGCAACGTAACCATTATGACATCCACTGGTCTCCCATTCCGATCTTTTTGAGACAGTGTCTCACTATGTTGCTCAGGCCAGCCTTGAGCTTGTGATCCTCCTGCCTCAGCTTGCTGAGTCTCTGGGATTATAGACACAGGCCACCATGCCTGGCCTTTAGATTATGCCAAGAATTTGTCCCATTTGTTCCAACCTGTGTAAAACTGTCCTAGCAGCACAGTACAGACCCACTGCAGCTGGGCCCAAGAGGGATTTGTTTTTTTATAATTCGTCAGAGGATACACATTCCCACCAGAGAGACAGAGAAAGAGAGAGAGAGAGAAGGAAAATGAGAAAGCACGCCTGATAGGGGATGGTCATGCTGTGATCCCTTTTCCTCCATTTTTTTCTCGTTTTGGGAGTTTGGGCATGCACATGGTTTTTGTTTGCTTGTTTGTTTGCTTTTCTGGAGAGGTTTTTGCTATAGGGCATTTGCGCTCTTCAGAGAGACAGAAAGTGAGAAATCATTCCCCAAGGGGGATGGCTACGCCGCAATCCCTTCTCCTCCATTCTCCTCTCGGGATCTTGGGCACACACGCACATGTGCCCAGTGTGATTTTAAGCCACTGGGTTCAGGACTTGAACCATAGTCGATTACATGGGAGTCCAGCAACATAGCCATTACTCCAACTTCTGGTCCCCACACACACGTTTTTTAAGCCAGCATTCTAGGACTCAAACTGTGCTGTTGGCCATGTGGGATCCAGCCACCATCTTAACCCCAAGAAACATTTTTTAAATGAGGCACCCCTCCTTACCAA